TCAGCCAAGAACCTCAGCCATGGATCCAGATCATGTTCCTGTTCCAGCAGGTGTGTATAATTTGTGTTCATCAGACTCCCTAATAAGCTGATGGGTATGAGTTTATAATCATTTTTATTGAATTATTAATTATTTAACAAAGTTGATATACAGATAATGAATACATATGTATATATACATAATAACCTTTAACATGCATTTTCTACATTTTAAGATAGTTTCCCTATAAAAGACCCTATATGATTAATCAGTAAGCCAAACATATTAATATCTGAAATATCTTTAGCTTTAAAAAAAAATAAAAGAGAAAATACTTTTGGTTCAACAATGATTTATTTGGGGGAATAGGTTTCCTTATATAAAACTAGCTTTTATTTCTAGTCTTGCAATCTCTAATTGATGTTAGTGTCAATGTATCTTTTTAACATTATTAAAATATTGAAATGCCACTTTTTTCTACAGGATATATGTTTATAAGTGAAACTACATAAAGAGCATCTTTTAATAAGGAAGAATTTTTTGTTGTTTGGGACTCATTGTGGGTACAAAGAATTAGGTTACACTGATTGTATTTGTTAGGTAAAGTCCCTCTTATAATTGTGTCCCACCCCCAAGAGGTGTGCCATACACCATGACCCCCCCATCCCACTCTGTCCTCCCTTCTCTCCACTCCCCCAATTCCCTAACCCCCACCTTGTATTAGATCATCTACTGGCTTCATAGTAGAATTGAGTACAATGGATTCTTGCTTTACCATTCTTGTGATGGTAAAAAGAATGTGTTCCACCTCCACCCAGGTTAATATGAAAGATATAAAGTCTCCATCTTTTTTAGTGACTAAATAGTATTTCATGGTATATAGCTTATTAATCCATTCCTGGGTTGATGGGCATTTAGGCTGTTTCTACATTTTGGTGACTGTAAATTAAACTGTGATAAACAGCCTAGTGAAAGTGTCCTTATGATAAAAGGATTTTTTTCTTTTTCTGGGTAGATGCCTAGTAATGGGATTGTGGGATCAAATGGGAAGTCTCATTTGAGTTCTTTGAGGATTCTCCATACTTCCTTCCTAAAAGGCTTTGCAGTCCCACCAGCAGCGTAAAAGTGTTCCCTTCTCTCCACGTCCATGCCAGCATCTGCCGTTTTGAGACTTTGTGATGTGGACCATTCTTGCTGAGGTTAGGTGATATCTCAGGGTAGTTTTGATTTGCATTTCTCTGATGATAAGGGACAATGAGCATTAGGTAAATAAAGCCATATAGTTACAACTAACTACATGACTAATTAAGCAGACAAAAACTTACACTGGGGAAAGGACACCCTATCCAATCAATAGTTCTGAGAACACTGGATAGCCACATAAAAAGAATGAAACTGGATCCCTGTCTCACCATATAAAAAAATTAACTCAAGATAGATTACAGACTTAAATGTAAGACCCCAAAGCATAAACATTCTAGAAAAATACATGAAGAAAACCCTCTGGACATTGGGGTAGGCAAATAATTTAAGACTGTGAGCTCCTGCAATTAAGTTCATGAGCGCAACCTACAAAAAGTGCTACATACCTCATTGCTGAATATCATTATGGTCACCTTCAAAGTGTTCCCCATGGGAAGCTGTGCACTGATACTAGTGCCTAGTCCACCCTTCAAAGCTAATTTGGAACTCTACTGTTTTTTCTGGAATGGCCAATAGAACTGTTGTCATACCAGGACTGACAATTAAGTTCATGAACTATTGTCATACCAGGACTGACAATTAAGTTCATGAACTCATCCTAGAAAAAGTGCTTTAACACATGCTATACAGATACTGTATAATATATACCATGGAGCATTACTCAGCCATAAAAAGAAATGAAATAATATCTTTTGCAGCAACCTGGATAGAATTAAAGACCATTATCCTACACAAAGTATCTCAGGAATAGAAAAATAAATGCATGTTCCCATTTATAAGTGGGAGCTAAACAAGGGACTCATATGGTCATAAAGTGGTGTAATGGACCTTGAAACTAAGAAAAAGGGAGAGAGAGGGAGGGAGGATGATAGACACCTGTTGTGTACATGTGCACTATTTTGGTGATGGGTACACTGAAAGCCCTGACATGATACCAGAAAAAAATATACCCCTTAAATCTATTGAAAAAAAGAAATATTTTTGAGACAACAGATTGTACGTTATGTTTCTCTCTTTAATCCCTTTTCAGAGCCTGTTTCCTGAGCCCTTATCCATACAGAGTCATTCCGTGCAATTCCTCAGGGCTCTGTGGGAGAAGACCCAGGCAGGGGGTGCTCACAGCTTTGAAGCCGCCATGATGGAGTCCACGTTTCCACAGCAGAAGGTAAATCCTTCTTCCTATTTTAAGCCAAGATTCAAGATCACTTTTAAACAGTTTGCCTCTTTCTTAGCAGTTCAGTTTTTCCCCTTCTTTCCTTTACCTTCTTTTATGTAGTATCACCATCAAAAAACACTTATTATGTAATGATCTTCATGTGGTGCCATGGTGGACTTAGGACAGAGTAGTATCAGTAGACAAGGTCATTGTCCTTGGAGGTCCATAGACTGACAAGATATAGTCCATTCAGAACCACAAAAGCTGTGTGCACATATGGAATAGACTAGTGTGGTGGCTCGCACCTGTTACCCCAGTAACTGAACTGGGAGGATTGCTTGAGCCAGGGAGTTTGAGACCAGCCTGGGCAACATTGTGAGACCTCATCTCTACAGAAAAAAAAATTTTAACAAATTAGCCAGGCATGGTGGCATGCACCTGTAGCCCCAAGTACTCAGGAGGCTGATCCCAGGAGTTCAAGGTTGCAGTGAGTTATGATCACACCACTGTACTCCAACCTGGTGACAGAGAAACACCCCACCCCCCAAAAAATATATATATGATAGATAATACAGATAGATAGATGATAGAGGGATGATAGATAATAAATATATAGATAAATGATGATAGATAGATAGATAGATAGATAGAGCTCCACAGAGGCAGGCAAGCATGATGTAAGACACAGAGCATTTCAGCGGTGCACAAACAGGACATCACTCTCAGGGTGCAGTTGACTGAGACCTCCTGGGCAGGGAGCTGAACTGGGGGAAAGGCCAGAGTGTGGAGGTAGAGTCATCCACTCGAGAGGGTGAAACCAGAGGTGGAGGTACATGGATTTGCTCAGATGTCCCCAGTACATTCCCCAGTACAGTAGGGATGATTAGAGGAGTGGAGACAGCAACTCTGCTTAGGTGGAGACAGGAACTCTGCTTAGGTGGCTACTACCATTGTTAGGCAGGAAATGAAGGTGCTGTCTTTCCAAAATTCATAGGTGGAAACTTAAACCTCAAAGTGATAGATTTACAAGGTGGGGCATTTAGGAGGTGATTAAGGCATGAGGATTGGACCCTCATGAATGGGATTAGCAAACTCATATTAGAAAAAGGCTGGACCTAGCTAGGCCCTGGCCTTTCCACCATCTACCATGTAAGGATGCAGCTTTCAAGTCGCCCTGTTGGAAGCAGAGACCAAGCCCTCACCAGACACCGAACCTTCCTGCTCCTTGATCTTGAACTTCCCAGCCTCCAGACTGTGAGAAATAAGTTTCTATTATTTATAAGTTGCCCAATCTCAGGTATGTTGTTATAGCAGCATAAACAGACTAAGAAAGGACTGAATTCATTCCAACTTTATAGAGTTGGAAGTTGTAGGAAGAAGATGGAGTACAAAGCTGGTAGGGAAGTCAAATCACAGGACTTACCGTCTGATATGGAAAATGGAAGAATCCAGGATCACAAAGGAAGTTGGTGGGGATGAGAAGCAAACTACTTATTTGGATAACAAGGTGATGAAGGTGGTTGAAATTCAAGTGTGGAGTTTAGAAAGAAGGCCGTGACTGGAGATGTGGATCTGGGAGTCCCAAAGTGCACTTGATGTCATGGCAAACACAGGATCACTCAAGGGGAATGTGAGACTCAGAGAGGAGAATGGTTATCAGTCTTTCCTAGTCAATATTACCAGCTTCTCTCTTTTAAGACTTTCTTATACTCAGTGACTCTGATTATCTTTATTTTGCCTTTAAGAAATGCCAATAATAGGTATTGGCTACTTAACCTGGCAAACCAGAGGTTCTGGGAGTATACGATCATGGTCTCTGTCCTTGTTTTACTATTGAGAAGGGGAATAAACACGCCACTATTAAATAAGTTCAAAGTACAAAGAAGTGTAAATTAACTTATCAAAACCTGTCATACTGGCTTGGCACCCACAGCACAGTGGTTATAGCACCAGCCACATACACTGAGGGTGGCAGGTTCAAACCCAGCCCAAGCCAGCTAAACAACAATGACAACTGCAACAAAAAATAGCCAGGCATTGTGGTGGGCACCTGTAGTCCCAGCCACTTGGGAGGCTGAAACAAGAGAATCACTTAAGCCCAAGAATTTGAGGTTGCTGTGAGCTGTGATGCCATAGCACTCTACCCAGGGCGACATAGTGAGACTCTATCTCAAAAAAAAAAAAAAAAAAAAAAACCTGTCACATTGTGAGGCTAACTCAATAGTTCTTAAGTGCTGAAGAATTGTAACACGATGAGAAATAAGTATGATTAATCAGAATCGTATTTATAATGGTCTGTAAGACACTAAAGACGTCTCTAACTATTGCATCACTATTTTTTGGCTTCAGTTTAAGAATTCAAAATGCAGTACTAAAAATAAAGGAAATGCCACAATTACAACAATGTGAAATAAAATTGAATTCTTTGCACATTTTGTTCAGATTTTTAAGTATTGCGTCACGTTTAAAGACAATGCCTCAAGTTCTCATAAATTTTTCATTGTGAACTATATTTTAACTAGAGGCAACTAGTAAATCAAAACTTGGCAGGCTGCTTCAAATCCTAAGAGATTAAGAATATTGGCAAAATAGTTTTATGCATGCTGACGAATACACTGATTCACATTTCATTTCTTCTATTTCATACCGATAAGCATTCCTCTAGGGGAAAATTAACTGTAAACCAAATTTTTTGAAATTTTTAAAGTTGTATAATTTGGGTTTATTCATGAGTAATAGAAAAAAATTATATCTGGAATAGACATTATATACATTATGTAGCCAAGTTATCTGCCCAAGTATTTCTTTTTCTTTCTTCTTTTTATTTATTTATTTTTTTTTATTTTATTTTTTTTTTTTTGAGACAGAGTCTCACTATGTCACCCTCAGTAGAGTGCCATGAGCAACCTCAAACTTTTGGACTTAAGCAATTCTCTTGCCTCAGCCTCCTAAGTAGCTGGGACTAACAGGCACCCACCCCAACACCCGGCTCTTTTTTGTTGTAGTGGTCATTGTTGTTTAGTAGGCCCGGGCCAGGTTCAGACCCACCAGCCTCTGTGTATGTGGCTGGCCCCATAACCAGTGTGATACTGGTGCCAAGACCCAACTATTTCTTGAATTGATTTTCTCCTATTTTCTATGAAGTGTGCTGGGTACTGAATTCAAGATAACCATGAGACAGTGCAGAGTCTGCTTTATTTTCAAGCTATGTGCCAGTGTATATAATACGTACACTAATGATCCAGAAGAGATGATTACGTGTGTATCTGCTTCTGTGATGGCGTTTCACTGCAGTCATTTGGGTTCAGGTACACAGGGAAAAAGGAAAAATAATCTGGGAAAATGCCCGAGTGCCTGCAAAGTAACATTCTGGAAGAAATGAAGAGAAGTTTGTTATTTTGCAGTTTTGCAATCTTAGGATTTTAGAACTCAAAATTATCAATAAGGTGTCTATTAAATTGCCAACTGCTGGAGGGCAGAGATTTCTCCATGTTTATCTTTGTCCTGCCAGAGTCACAAGGTACTTGGCACACATAGGCTCTCAATTACTAGTAGGTATCAATGGAAGGCATATTTTTAAAATGTCATTTTCCAGACGTTAGAGCTAGGTTAGTAGCAGAGTCAGAGCTGAGGTTCACGCACTGGTGACCTCAGAGTTGTCACTCATGTATCTGGCACTTCACTCCTCTGGGCACAGGAGAGGGTGGCATTTCCCTGTGTATTAAAGTAAGATGCAGCCATGTGACTTGCTTCAGCCAATGAAATATGCTGTGTCACTTCAAGTGGAAGCTCTTAAAAGCCAGGGTGCCATCCTCTTTGTTTCTTCTCTTCCCACCCTGGTAACTGTATAAGCAGAAGTTGATACTAAGTTGCCTGGTACCAACGGTGCCGAAGAGCCTAGGATTCTGAGCCACCAGAGGATTGCAGCTCTGGAGAGCCACCTCGTCCCACCACAGGTTTCACATGAGAAAGAAACAATCTTTCATTTTGTTAAAAACTAAAGTTTTGATGCTAGTTATGGCAGCACAGCCCAGAGTAGGTTGATGGATTCACACACCCACCATGAGCCACATCAGAATACAAGCTTCATAACAGCAAGGACCTTGCCTGTCTGATTCATTATAGAATTCAGGTTGTTGATTTCCTTAGGTAATGGCTCAAGCCATTAGACTAGGCCTAAACAAGTATATATACACATTAACTGATTATATATATATTTGTTATATTTGCGTGGTTTTTGGACCACACGTAGTAGTAAGTATGTGGACTCTGAAGCCAGATGACCTGGGTTTAAAACCTGAATCTCCTCACCAGTTCTGCATCCACTGCCTGTGTACCCCTGTTTCTTCATTTGGACAATGGAGATAATATCAGTATCTATGACACAGAGCTGTTTTGAGAACTGAAAAACCTTTAGAGCAGTGGCACAAGATCCCTCAATAAAAGTGACAATAGGCTCAGCGCCTGTGGCTCAAG